TGGGGCGCAACGCGTGGTGCTGGGCGGGGTGGTGCGTGGGGCTCCCTCTCTCTCCCATTGGGAGGCGTGGCGCGGGGCGCAACCTCTCTCTCATTGCGAGGTGTGGCGCGGGGCGCAACCTCTCTCTCGTTTGGAGCCGTTGCGCGGGGCCCTCCCTCCCTGCGAGGCGTGGCGCGGGGCGCAACCTCTCTCTCGTTTGGAACCGTGGCGCGGGGTCCTCCCTCCCTGCGGGGCGTGGCGCAGGAGCAACCTCTCTCTCGTTTGGAGCCGTGGCGCGGGGCCCTCCCTCCCTGCGAGGCGGGGCGCGGGGCGTAACCTCTCTCTCGTTTGGAGCCGTGGTGCGGGGTCCTCCCTCCCTGCTCAGCCGTGGCGCGGGGCCCTCCCTCCCTGCGAGGCGGGGCGCGGGGCGTAACCTCTCTCTTGTTTGGAGCCGTGGTGCGGGGTCCTCCCTCCCTGCGAGGCGCGGCGCGGGGCGTAACGTCTCTCTCATTGCGAGGTGTGGCGCGGGGCGCAACGTCACGCGCTTCTTCCTCGTCGTCTGTCGCCGCTAGCGATGTCTCATTGCACCGCAAACAGCTCACCACCTCACGCCTATGACAAGCAGATTGCCCCCGTAACATAGGGTCCTCATAACGGTGGCCAGGTGCAGAGTTCAGCTGAGCCCTGCGCCTCGGCTCAGCTGACCCCTGAGAGCTCGCTCTGCTGAGGTCGAGGGCGTTCTCACGATCCCTTCTCACGGGCAACCGACCTCCCGAGGGACGTGTTGCAGGTTCGGCATTTTGCGATCCCGACGTTCCATGATTTGAAGGGGCCGCCTGAACTGCCACCTGAGCCGTGCGCATCACTGGGTCCGTCGGCGAAAAGATTGATCGGAGGCGGTCTGGCGTGAGGGTGGGAGAGCCGCGCACTGGCACCGCCCGCTACAAGATTACAGAATTGTTTTCAACCGTTACAATGCAAAAGGACACACGAAGCGTAACATTTTCTCGAAGGACTCTTACCACATCCAAAACATCTAAGCTCCACCGTCCGGTGGTGCTGGTAATACTCGTGTTGCTACCCGATGCACTAGTGTCGGCGGTCTTGGTTTTAGTGGTGCAAGTGCTCCTGTCGCTGTCACTGTCGCTGCCGCTGTCGCTGTCGCTGCCGCTGTCGCTGCCGCTGTCGCTGTCGCTGCCGCTGTCGCTGTCGCTGCCGCTTTCGCTGCTGCTGCCGCTGCCACTTATGTTGCTATTCTCGCTAGAGGATCTCTCTCTGGCCGTTTTCGTGGACACCCTCTGAACGAACACACATACAAGTGTTTAGATCTATGCATTATCAAGTACAACCACACGCGCGCGCTTGCAGCACGCACACGCACACGCCGTACTCACTCTGCTCTTGACTTCAGCGGGGTTTTCCTCGCTCTCGCTCTCGCTGTCGCTTAATCCTCTCTTTTTGGCCTGCAAATTAAAATGAAATCACTATATGTCTGCGGACTATCATCGATCAGCCGCGAAGGGGTTGAGTGCGATCCGGCGGGCGGCCGGACCTGCTCCGCTGGCGGGCCCCCACCACGCAACACACGGTGAGGGGAGCACTCGCGCGTTATACACAACACCAACACTTCAAACACCGGTACGGCCTATGAGGCACACTCACCTGTTCACCCGATGGAGACATGGTGTGGAGCACTGGGTAACTATGAAGCTAGCCGAGGTCTGCGACGAAGTGTACACCACGAGGAGCTATGGAGCACTGGCTGTTTCGCACTCTTTGTATCCCTGCCGAGCAGACAGCTGGACTGCCCCAGGAGACGTGTGTTCTTCGATCGGCTCTGAATGCACCTCAATATTTCCCCCTCCTCATCCCCAAAGCCATCGTCAAAACCACTAATGCATACCACACATACGTAAAAACACACGGCTAGACACATAAAAAAATATTCTACGGCCGCGCCTGCTTCACCCGCTACGCCCTCAACACAATTGGTGCTATTGCTGAACTCTTTGCTCAAATTATTTGTGTCATTGTATTCAATCTCATAACCGTTACACATAGGGCAAAGCCCTAATATCCACAAAGAAATAACACCGAAAAACAAAGCTGATGAGTCGAAAGTGACATAGGCTGTCGCGATACTTACGCCCCTGCAGAGGACGCGTTTGCTGTGACACTGGATTCACCTCAGCAGTTGAGAAGTAGGGTTCATAGGGTCTCATCTGACTCATGCCCCGTCATTCCTAGGCACACCAGCCGAGTGCAGCTGGCGATTATAATCGGTTATACCACGGTGGTCTCTCTCGCGGCCGTTTCGAGTTCCCATCTTCAAATGCGATCCGGGCCGGGAAAGCGTTGCCTGGTGGCACCTAGATTTTGCACACTTTCTTTACAAGTTTCATATAATTTTTAGAGGGTGCAACCTCGATGACAATTTTTTTTGATACAGGCTAGCGTACGGCATCCGTACTGTCGCTCAACTTCATGCACGACACCTCACACTCCTCAGTGTTGTATGCAGGCATTGGGCCTTCATAATCGGCCGGGCACGAGAGA